AATTTTAACACTCACGGTCCCATTCCGCAAAACTTGATCAACCCATGTACACCACTTGTCTCCGAAGCCCCTAAGCTTGTGGCATTCAAGAAGGAAGTCCCAATTGAGTTTGTCGTATGCTTTCTCGAAATCGAGTTTAAGCACAACCCCGGCACTTTTTTTTAACATGCGTATGGTGGAGGACCTCATGCAAAGTCAGAATTCCATCCATAATATTACGTTTTTTGATAAAAGCATTTTGATGGCGGCTGATAAGCTTATCAGCAAACACTGCCACCCTGTTGTCCAAGACTTTGGTGATAAGCTTGTATGGGCAACGGAGAAGGCAGATGGGGCGGAACTCTTGGATTTTTTTGCCCCACTAATTTTGGGAATAAGAGTAATTATACCGTAGTTAAGCCTCTCTACATCCAAGGTACCCTCATGGAAGGCCACGAATAAGTTCATGATGTCCTGTTTAACAATCTCCCAACAGAATCTATAGAATTCTGCTGGTATGTTATCCGGGCCTGGTGCACGATTGCTATCCATGGAGAAGAGGGCCGCTTTAACTTCTTCCTCACTAAAGGGACGGGTAAGGAAATCATTATCCGTATCAGTAAGTTTTCCATCCTCTCCCCAAGAACTAGGGTCCATATGAAAGAGATTACCAGGAGCTGTCCCAAAGAGCTCTCTATAGTAATCAGTAGCATGTTTCAATAAATTTTTAGTGCCCTCAATCGCCTCATCTCCATTAGAGAAGGAGTGAATTGTGTTTTTCCTTTTCCTTCCATTGGCAATCCTATGGAAAAAAGAAGTATTTTGGTCCCCTTTCAACAGCCATGTCTCATGGGACTGTTGTAACCAAAAAAGCTCTTCATCAGCCAGCATTTGCTGAAGCTTGCCACAAAGCTCAGCTCGCCTGTCGAGGGTTTCAGGATCAAGGTGCCCTTGCTCTTCCATAGTCTCTATGTCAGCAAGTTCGTTTTTAATCTTCTCTTTTTCTTTTCTGTCATGCCCAAACTTATCAGAGCCCCACCCTTTGAAGAATTTTTTAAAGCGTTTTAATTTGATATTTAGGACATCAATGGGGTTAGACGATTTGACAGGTCTCTGCCAAATTTTGCTAACCAACGGGAGGAATTCCTCCTTGGTCATCCAACTCATTTCAAACCTGAATTCACGAGGTTTGGGAGTTTGAGGGCGATTACTGTTAGTGGAGAGAAGGAGAGAGTTGTGGTCAGAGAGGTCTCTAACCAATTTCCTAATAGTAACTAAAGGGAACAAGTCCTCCCAATCATTGCTCATGAGGATTCTGTCAAGCTTTTCCAGGGTAGGGTGACTTTGATTGTTAGACCAAGTATACAAGCCCCCTTCTATAAAGATTTCTCTCAAGCACATAGTATTAATGATGTCATTGAATCTATCAACATATTGAGAAGTAGCCATTTTTTTATTCTTCTCACCACAGTGCCTAAGAATATTGAAGTCTCCCCCCACAATATAAGGAATTGAGAGATGGCTACAGAAACTAGCGAGCTCATAGAGGGATTCCTCTTTTTGCTCATCATGAGCAGCACCATACACATTTAGAAGAGCCCAAATACACTTTTTCTCGACATCAAACACAATCACTTGCATAATGAACCTGCCTAGAGACTAGGAAACAACTTCTAGTTTGCTTTTTTTTAACCCCACAAAGCATGCCTCCAGCCTTGCCCAGAGAGGGAACCCAGTTCCACTCAAAGGCATTATAAGTATCTATTTTCCTCAAAAACCAGGGGTTACTTTATTCTTCTTAGTTTCTTGCAAACAAAGAAAGTCCAGGGAATGATCTTTAATAAAGTCAGAGAGGCAAGTAGTCATTCCTTTCTTGCCTGCCCCTCTGCAATTCCAAAAAAGACCATTCATTTTAAAATTTTCTTCCTCCCCGTCCCCCTAGTCACTCTGCCAGGAGATTTAGCAGCATTACCAGGATCAACAGTGGGCTCCACTGTTTTTTGACTTCTAGCTCTAGGCCTAGAGATGCTAGTTTTAACTTTCTTAGCACTTTTTTTCTTTCTAGGACCAACAACAGTAAAATCAGAGGTGTCACTATTATAATCATCCCCCCATTTAAGGTTAATAGGTATGTCCTCCCCCTTCCCAGTAGTAATGAACATATTATTAACAGGGGGGTATCTTTCTCAACAACATTATTTCTAAAATTCTCAAGTTCACGTAGGATGTTAACTTTTGAAAAATCAGTGTCTGGGATCATAACCCCCATCATATTAGCTCTTAGCAACAATTCAGGATCAGAAAGAACAGCAAAGGAGTTGGTATACACCACATCATTAATGTGGATTTGTGGTTTAAAAGTTTGATGTCGTTTTATATATTGTGTATCCGAACACCCGATTTTGGTTTCTAGGTTCGACACTCAGTCTCGAATTCGCCCAGGCTTCACAAAAGTTCTGGCTCCGCCACTGACAAGTCCCAAGTCATTGCTCCCCTATAAAAAAATAAGCCTAATGTCGAAAGAAGTGCTGAACCTCAAATTAAACACATCACATTGTCAAATATTTCATTGAGACAGACAATTTTAAACAGATCACAAATTACATGTCAATTGATGATAAAAATGCCAGCAAACACAAAGAAGATCAACAGACATATCACATGCATTTTCTGCCTAAAGAGAACACTCATGTCGCCACGTATTTTAGTATTTGTTATCTTTGCTACTGGCCGATAAGTCATCATCGTTGTCGTGAGGGGTGGCGCGGAGAAGCACGCCGAGCCATTCCCCGGTCCGCCATGGACGATGTCCTTGTGGTCC